CACACGTGTGTGTTATTTTTAAGAGGAAAAAAATGCATTTTTATATTATTATATTAAGACAAAACCTTTTTATTTTATGTATTCTTATATATTTCATATACTTATTTTATTTTACATTTTACATGTTTTATATATATAATTTATTTAATTTTTTAAGATTTGTAAAAAATATGTATATATATATATATATATATATATATATAATAGTAAAATCATAGTAAATATAAAACAGAAATAGGACTCAAAAACTCAGATTCGGTAAAGTTTAATTGCAGCTTGTGAGCTAGCACATGTGTTGAATCACATTTCCCATCATGCTCCTCTTCTGTCTCGTACCAGGCCGGCTCAACGTGAAGCAGGAGGAGATTGATGAGATGCTGAAGGAGGCGTCAGGCCCGATCAACTTCACCGTCTTCCTCACAATGTTCGGAGAAAAACTCAAAGGCAAGTTTTCAAGCTATGAGACATTGGTATGATCTTGAACATTGAAAAGCAAGTTTACTGCATTAAAAATCAATTGTGAGATACAAAGTTGCTGCCTGCATAGAACTTTTCAAACTGGAGATGGTGATGTTTTGTTCAGGCCTTTTATTGCTAAACTAATCTGTGAATCAGAGAGTTTGATGGAGGTTTGTTTGATCGCAGGAGCCGATCCGGAGGAAACCATCCTCAGCGCCTTCAAAGTGTTCGATCCCGAGGGGAAGGGAATCCTGAAGAAGGAATTGTAAGATGTTCAGTGCATTATGCAAGCTGTTTTAGCTCGGAAACACAAACACTTGGCCATTATTGTTTTGTCTTGTGAATAACATGCATATGAAAGAAACAAATTGACCCTCATAACGCATTTGGGTCAGTTTTGACCCAGTAGAAATACATAAAAATGTAAAAAAAAAAAAAAAAAAAAAAAAATGCTTTTAAGACCCTCAAAATACACACCATTAATTTTTTTCAGATTTTTTTACAATTATTTGTTAAGACATATAAGCATTTAAAAAATGCTTTCACATTTCGTGTTCAGATCATTGTTGACCCGGATATGTATGGAGCACCATAGGTGTCAAAAACACTTTTATTAAATTATCTATCAAATTATATTAGTGTCAAAAATGTTGGTAAAATATATTTGAGCCTTTTCCTCATATCTCACACACTTTAGGAACTGAATTTTGTTGCGAAACATGAATAAGTACGTCTATTGACGAAGCAATGCAGCATGAAAAATTTATCTCTTTTTTCATCTGAAAGTAAAGTCAAATAAACTTAATGTGTTTAGTTTTAAGCAACACTTTGCATTTTCACTATAAATGACCATTATTCATGTTCTTATCAGTTTTATTTTAGTATCATTTATATTTTCTGTTAATATTTAGAATTTAGCTTAAAAAGTTTTGTCATATTTGTTTAATAATATTTATTATACATATTTCTAGTAATAATTATATTTATTATATTTGATCATTATTAAATGTTATACTACGTTTATATTATAATTTTTTTTATTTCAGTTTTAGTTAGGCTATTTTAGTACTTCAGTTTAGACTAAATGAAAATTAGAAGACTGAAATAAAAGAAGTAAAATTAATTAATTTTGTTTGAGTATATTTATGTTGTTTTGACGTTGTTTCATGGGAAGAAAATATGTAGGTTTCATCAATTTCATTGAATCCGATGGAGTTAATACTGGAAATCTCTGATTTTATTTTCTTATAATTTCTTACAGTAATATATTAAATTAAGACGTAATTTTATATAATTTTTACAATATAAAATATAATATCCAATTTTTGTTTTGGTGTTGTTCATGTGTAGTTTGAACATTCAAAGTATTTAAAATAATATGTAAATATGTAAATATGCAATAATCATTATACATTATATATATAATAAAGATTTGTGTGTGTGTGTATGTATGCATATATATATATATATATATATATTACAATGTATGGAAAAAGAGCAATACACAGAATAAGATATATATATATATATATATATATATATATATATAAAATATTTTTGTTTAAATGCATTATGAGGGTTGACATTTATTAAGAAAGTGTGTTTTTCGTGTGTTTTTGATGCGTCTCTCCAGTGTTACTGAGATGTTGACCACGCAGGCCGACCGGTTTTCTGCTGAGGAGGTGAGGCACGTCTCACATGTGTGATGCTTGATGGTTGCCGTGGATACCGTGTCAGCACCACTGACTGCTGTGTTGTTTCAGATGGAGCAGATGTTCACCGCGTTCCCTCCAGACGCTGTGGGAAACCTGGACTACCGCAATCTGGTCCACGTCATCACTCACGGAGAGGAGAAGGACCAGGAATAGTTCACTCGCTCCTCAGCCAATCACAGCACTCCCTGCGTGTTTGTACCCGCCCACTTGTTTATGACTGACAGGCTTGAAACGGATGTAGTTACTGAAACAAGTATGTTCTGATTTTTTAATGTATGATGATGTTGTGTTGATGTTTGCACCTTTGGCATGAAACCTGTCAGAATTTACTTACAAAAAATATTGTTATTGGTAAATAAATAAATCAATATGAAATACTGATTTGAGTACAAATGATTTTCTTGTGTGAAAAGGAAATAATTTGATTTGAAAATTAAATTGACACCATATGTGTTTTTTGTTGACTATCATCAGGCTTTTATGGCTCATATAGTTTGATACAGTGAGAATATGGAGGAAAAAACTGCTCTATTTTATTCAAAATAGATTATGCAATTTGTTACAGATGCTGATATTTATGATGATGAAATTCTGCTGCTTGTACTGTAAATCAATGAGATCTTTATAACAGCACAGCAGATACTGACATAAAATGATCTAAATATCAGTCGTCGCTCTATATCTCCAGTAATCTGTCTCAGTAAGATGAGATTGAAATGCTCCGAACATATAATGCAGTGATTGAGAGCTGAAGAAATAAAGGCTCCTCAGAAGATGTGAGATGTTCTGGAGGCTTGTGAAGATCATTCCTCCGCTGAGGAACAGTGAAAGTAAAGCTTCTGGAAACAAACGCTCCTCAAAAGATCCTGATGATCAGATTTGAGACTCTAAAACATGATTGATGGAGAATCAAGTAAAGCTGAGCTGCTTCAGTTCAGTAAGTGTTCATCTGGAGATATTACTGCAGTTATTCTGACCTTTACTTGATCAAAATCAGTCAAGATTTGACAGCAAAAACACACGAGAAGCATGAGCTGAAGCTGGACGTTTGTACGAATTATACTAAAAGCGATTCATTTTTAACAGATCAGTTTTTAAATTTACTTTTTGGTGACCATACGAACTCTTTTTCCAGGATATGTCCTGTCCAGGATTTCTAAATAGCCTAAAATGTCCTGGTTTTGTTTTTGTTTTCCAGTTGTTTTCAGTGAATATCATTCTATCAGTCACTGAGGGTTGGCTGTGTTTGTGCGGGCGTTTTCTATCCCTCAGTGACTCTCAGAACAGGTGGCAGTACTTTTATTTTCTGCTGGGATAAAGTCAAAGCCTGTGCTGTTATTTCTGTGTGCAGCCTGTAATCTAATACAGTCTTAATGTAGCGGCCCGAGACAATGAGTAGCGCTGTCTGATCCCGCGCACTTTCACGGAAACCTCCGGGTATCTGATGTCTGACTATATGGCAAGCCGTTTAATATTTAATCCTTAAATCCTACTAGTATCTATTTTCATGCTACTAGTACTTATTTTTTAGCTACTAGTATCTATTCCATTTCTTAGCCTATTTGTTGGCTACTAGTGCTTATTCTTTAGGTACTAGTGCATTTTTAAAAATGCTAGTACTTATTCATTATATACTAGTTCTCAATGGTGGCACTAAGGGGGCTGAAGCCCCGAATGTTTTTATTACCATGCCCTGTATGCATCATCACTGAGTTTTCATGTGCATTAAAATCATTTCTGTTAGAACCGCAGATTTACTCTATACGCTATAATACCGGCCTTGCAATCCTTACAAATTAGGTTATTTGTGACAGAGCACTGTCATTGCGAATATATATATATATATATTTAATCAAAGTATATACGCAGTCTTTGTTTGGGACGCACACACACACACACATGCATTTAGAGTGATTATATGTTTTGTTAGCATGGTCTATGGCAGACTTTTCTTCATGTCAGGGCAATAATTCAATAAACAAGAAGTAAATATAAGCGGCTTAAATTGTAGAGACAATGAATATTGTGTTTTGCTCTATTTCACTAAAATGGTTCCAAACAAAGTCATGTTGTGCATCTCTAGCAGGTTCCTTACTGAATGAATTTGCGTTTTTGAACGAATCGAGTGAGTCAGTGATCCACTGATCCACTGATCCATTCATAAAAAGTTTATTACTTCGTTCCTGAATGAATCAGCCGTTTTGAAAGAGTTGATTGAATAAATGACTCAAAGACTCATTAAGACCGTGGCTTGCCGCCACCTACTGGCAATTTTTATTTTTATCTCATAACATTATTTATGCAATATGTGCAGTGTAAATGCATTTACAAGTGCTAAAAAATAAGTGTATAGAGGCTCTATATTAGAGCCCTGCATGTTTAATTAGGCTATACTTGGCTTTTTAAAAATAAAAAATAAAAATAAAGGCACTTGGTCAAAGCAGAATTTAAACATATATAAATATATATATATAAATAGTACAAGTATCTAACAAAAAGTTATAGTATTTAATAAATAAGTACTAGTAACTAATGGATACTTACTAGAAATATTTAAAAAGACACTAGGCACTATTAGAATAACTACTAGTTTGTAATAAATAAGAACTAATATCTAATGAATAAGTACCAGTATCTTCAACAAGTTACTAGTACCTAAGAATAAGCACTTGTAGCTAAAGAATAAGCACTAGTAGTTAATGAATAAGTACTAGTACTTCATGTCATAAATACTAGTAGCTAAAAAAATTAAAAAGTACTAGTAGCATGAATACTAGTATGTTTTAAGGATTGAACGTTAAAACAGCTTGCCATATGCTGATCATCTCTCAGCACCGCTGCTCGGGTCATGACTGCCAAAGATGAGGGAGTTGTGTTAGTGATGTTTGCTGTTGTATTAAACACACACATAAACATGCAACTCAAGAAGAGTGTTCCTCTTCTAGTCATTGTGTGTTAGCTGTAGTGTTAATCCAGGGTCTGGATGGGCTGGTATTGTTGGTAACAGACTGGAGCCGGCCAGCAGAGGATTATGGGTCAGGAGCTCCTGTTTCTCAGTCTATTTTAAAGCTTCTGAAGCTCCAGGACACCTGTATGAAAGAGAAAGAGCTGAAGAAACGATTGCTGACTGACTGATTTCATCACACTGCGGTGTTTGTGGAGTTTTACTGATGAAACATGGTGTATTTGCAAAATGAGCATAAAACTTTTAACTCATTAAAGTGACAGTGACATCATCCTCCATCACATCCAGCATTTAAGTGTCATAATGTAAGAAATATAATAATAATTTAAGACCTGTTCATTATTAAATAATACTTTGCATTTTCAATATGTATATTGCCCATAATCATGTTCTCATCAATGTTATTTTAGTATCATTTATAGTCAATGATAGTTTTTCTTTATATTTTGAATTACTTTTTATTCCATATTTTGTTTTCATTTAAAGTTTTAGTTAATTTGTTGCGTTTGTTATTTTATAATTTTTTAAAAATCTCTATATTTTTTATTTTTTATTTCAGTTTTAGTTATTTTAGTACTTCAAGTTAAACTTATTATATAAGCTTAATTTTTATTTTATTTCAGTTAACATTTGTGTGTGTGTGTTTTTAAAAAAAATTTTTTTTTTTACATGCAATGTTTATTTTATTTTAAGTAACATGGTTTTAGTTTTAGTTAACGATAATAACCCTGGTTGTCATCCACATAGCATATGGACTATTTACAGAAACACTATTTTATATTATTAATTGATGTCTGACACATGTAGAAATGTGTATTTGATTTATATTGCACTATTTAACAAACTTAATTTCCCAGAATGCTCTATTTTACCCACTATAGAAGCAAACTGCCTCTATATGTATAGAATTTACACAATTAAATAATGATCTAAAAACAATGTGGTGAAATTTCATGGTGCCGTATTAAAGATATTCTACATATCAGGTGGTTATTTTTATGTTTTGTTGTGTGATTGTGTCGAATTTCTTTGAATTGCAATTCAGTGAATTCTTTTCAAATTCACATTCATGAATAAAAAGGGATTGAATTGAAAAGAAAGTCACTGCACATGACAGACAACAAACACTAGAGGACACCACAGTTGTGCTTCTATTGCCAGTGCTCTGAATATATGCGTAGAAACATGCAATAACAAGCTTTTTTTTTGTTTTTATATTCACTTATAATGAAAAGAAAAATTATACGATCAATAAGAAGTAGACAAGTTTTTTTTTGTGATGCAGATAAAATGAATAGAATTGTTAGGCCTACTGTTTTGATGTGGTTTATTCAGACACACCCTGTCAATGTTCTTTGTGCAACCTGATGTGGTCAGGATGCTGGTGAAACATCTTAAGAAAAAAATAATTTCCTCCAAGAAGAGATGATGAAATACAGTATGATGCTGAACATCTATCAACAACATGTTCCCCAGCCATATAAACGGATTTTAAAATCTAAATCGGCAAAAATTAAATGCATGATGCTTAAATATTTTACAAATGAAATAAGTAGCCTAATTCCTTTTTGCATTACTATAATGAGAACTGAGGGAGGATGTTGTCATTAAAATAATATTAACATGTAAATGCATTTTTAATAAATGTTTAACATATAAATATTAAATAGCTAAAAAGTGTTGGTAACACTTTACAATAAGGTTCATTAGTTAACAACTTTAGTTAACATGAACTAAGCATGAACAATACTTCTTACATTAACTAACATTAACTAATATTGTAAAGTGTTACCAAAGTGTTTAATTAACATTCAGCGTCACACACATTATTGTGAAATTCAGCTGCTCTCCCTCCCATTTCCTCCGCCCTATTTTTCCTCGTTCGTGCAGCTGTGTTGTATTCATCCGCCCGCCGGTTTCCAGCAGATGTGCTGCACTGCTGTTGCTGCATGCGTGTATCCTTCCGCAGAGCCGGTGTGCCTCCGCCGCAGCACACGCATCTTACAGCCCGCACCAAGCCGAGATCGTATATCTTTAGCTTAGAGTTTCCAGTGACAAATCTGTTTATTTTTATTTTATTTGACGTGTCCGGTGTGTTTTGAGTAGTCATGGCTGACATCGACAAACTCAACATAGACAGCATCATTCAGCGCCTGCTCGAGGGTGAGTTTCACATCAAGAAACGGCTAAAATGTCCTTATAATAGGATAACCGATTTCAAAATAATTTTTTTTTGTTGCATATGGATATGCATATGACTGATTTATCAGCTATCTGGGTCGTATTTAGAGCTGTTGAGCTAAGCTAACACGGTTAGCAGAGTGTTAAATGCAAAATACACAATATAATGCTTACAGTGTGATATTAAACACAGCTTTGACCGTTCAGAGCACTTATTAAGCTCCCACATTCGTTAAAAATGGCAGAAATTGAAATGTCAAAATCGTCCAGGCCTAGTTAATATATATATATATATATTTTAATCTATTTCAGCTCAGATGTAATTTATCTTTGAGAGTGTAATCTTTATAAAATGATTTTTTTTTTGCAGTGATAGCATCCATCTTGAAAAAGATGTGAGAACCCAGTTTGAATAGACTGAAATAATTTCAAAAACATGACACAAACTCATTTAGTTATTATATGTGTATTTTATTTTCTACTAGTTTATTATGCAAGTGAATGTTTTATGATGTTATTGCTTTATTGTATGCATTATAATAAAGCAATAAAAGACTTAGCTACAGTGATTATGCAAAATATTTATTGTTGTATTGTATTACAGTGTAATGCGAATTCTTGGTTCATGATAAATGTATTTCGTAACTCACTGCTAGTTTCAGTTTTGTGCAGAATTTTTATATGCAGAGCAGCTTATCATCGCTCATCTAATTTTTTAGCTGGATGCTTTGATTCGTATAGATGCAATGAGTTCTTCCAGGTGTTTTATGTGTTATCTTTTTATTTATTCATCATCGAGGGGCTTCAGGCCCCTAGCAGTTTATTATACAACTATATTATATATAAAATAGAATCGGCGTGATTCATTTATTATGCCTCATCATCTAGACTAGGGTGGTGTTCATTCTTGTGGTCAAATCACTAATTAAAGGCTTTTTAATGTATTTTATAACTGTTATGTTTCTTATGATTAAGGCTTTATGCCTGTGATATGTCAGGATAGTGTAGAAGTGACAGGAAAGTAATGGATTCTGGAAATGACCTGATGCAGACTCGCAAAATGTTATTTTTTTGCTCTATTTGTGGCTATTTTTGTTTTGCATTTGACTTTGTGTTCAAGCCAGACATATTTTTTCATGTGGGCTGCTCTCACGATACTCTATAAAGCTAACCGTGTTTCTTAGAAACCTCTCCCTGTTTTTTCCACCTCGTCAGAGTTTACATGGAGCCAGTTGCACCACCTGCATGTTTATTGCTATACAGCCTAGAAACCAGGCCGGGGTGTGTGGACTGCACCTATATCTGCTCGACTAGCATTAGTACGGCTGTTCCCTTGGCAGTCTGCTCCCGTTACATAACCTCACTTGGTTTAATGCCGCCCAAAGTGGTGCCAGGACCTGCCTCATAGTTCATGGGTGGAGAATATCAGTCCATGGAGACCGAGTCCTTCTCAGATTCATGAAATGAAGTGTTGAGGATGAAGAGCGGAATACATTTAAAGGAATATTTAAAAAAATTGCTGAAAATGTGCTACCTCACAGGCCATCCAAGATGTAGATGAGTTTGTTTCTTCATCGGATTTGGAGAAATGTAGCCAATGGATGCTCTGCAGTGAATGGGTGCCGTCAGAATGAGAGTCCAAACAGCTGATAAAAACATCACAATAATCCACAGCACTCCAGTCCATCAGTTAACATCTGAATATGACATTTACCCAGCAAAATTACCATATTCACGATCTCAGAAAACAGCACATCTTCTAAAACTTAAGGGATGAGTATTATTCATTTTCACTGAAAACCAACCAGAAACATCCACCCAAAATTTAGAAGTAAAATCACAGCAGTACAAAAGGTGCTCAAGAGTTTCAGGAAAAAACACAAGTATCCGTCTCAAATCGAAATCTCTTATTTTCAAAATTCCCCTACTGGATGTTTCCTAAACAGAATTTTGTAATTAACCTAAAATATGGTCAGTCACTAATAGATGAAACGGTATGATTGTTTGAGGATTCACACTTGATTATTGGCTTTTTTATGAACTTGAAAAGTGATCATTGCATGTTATTGTAATTACTAGCTTAATGATACATAAATCAAATGCATTTGTACTCATTGTACCAGACTGTAATATCTTGCTAAGGACTCACTTAGTTGGAAGTAAAACTCTGAGTACTTCAAGTATAGTCATGTACATCGAGTAAAACACAACAAAGAAGCTCTGAGTAATTGAAGTATAGTCCTGTATATCCAGTCAAGTAAGCTGCACAAGAAGATTCAACCATTCAGCTGTTGTTTAGCGTAGTGTTCGTACAGCATGTGAGCTCACGAAGGTGTAGTTAGGAATGTGTGTCTCGTTCCAGGGAGTTTCAGATGCTGAATGACGTGGCACTGACTTCACCCGCATAGCTGAGACAATGTTCGCCAAAGTCATTCAACTTGTGCATGCGTCATCTTTTGGCTTCAATCACTCTAAAGCTCCAAACTCAAAGCTTTGCCGCACGTGTTTTAATCATTCAGAAGTGTTTTTCGCATCTAGCGGCGTCGACAGCTGTGTTGTCTTTGTAGTGGAAGTGCTGCGAGAAACAGTTGGTGCTGCTGGAGGAAAGTCCAGCTTTGTGGAGCACTGACTCATAGTATGCATACTAGCACAGTCACAGCCTGAAACCTCGTGATGTGCGCCAGTGTCGGGGAAGCGGCTTTCAAGCTTTTTATGGGGGCTATTTGTTTTTTGTTACATAAGTAGCAGATTATATAATTTGGCATTTCAGAGTAGTGTTTGTCTGTCACAAAAACAATGAGGATCTCAATTAATCTGACGGCAATATACTCGAAAACAAAAGACGGCTTATAGTACCAACCCTCTACATTGCGAGTAAATCACTCGCATATGCAACTAAATCTTACTCTGGGCTACTAAATAATGTCTAACATTAGCCATTGGCTAATAAATTCTTAAATTTTACACGTCAGTATGTGTGTGAGAGGCGTTCAACACAGATTTTCACTCGATAAACACGCTGACTGAGCGCTTGAGAGTTTCGCTCTCCATCAAGCGAGCTGTACTATTTGGATGCGCTCAATGGATCATGTCATGTACCCAATGGATGCGCAGTATGTAGCATGCAGCGCACCTGTATTTGACGTACCGTAAACTAGTGTGAAGGCGCTCGACTCGCCGTCGCTTTACTGATAGCGCTGTGTTTCTCACACATGCAAAGAGAGAGAGCGAGAGTCTTGCATACCACGCTGAATCGACGCGCTACATGTAAACCATATTCTTTGTTATATTTTCCTGTCAAAATAACAGAGTTCATTTAGAATTATTCAGCTTTTAAGAACAAGCAGAAGATATGCCGGTTTCTCGGCAGTGGGCGGAGCTAATGCGCGAACAGCTACTTAACCATATTTTGGGGACAAATTTGTACCTAAAAGTGAGCAAAGCCTGACAAAAGCGGCAAAAACCTCAATTTGTGGATGTCCTCATTTGTAAAACTGTTATAAAAATAAACAAAGTTTTTTTTTACTTTTGAAATTGTAAAAATACAGAAAGTTTTCTGTGAGGGGTAGGGGTGCGTTTAGGTTAAAAAGTGTATAACTATCTGTATATAAAAACAATCGAAGTCTATGTAATGTCCCCATTTAGATAGCTAAGTAAACGCGCGTGTGTGTAAAATAGTATATCAGTCTGGCGAGTAAACAAAAAATTTTACTAGCCAATGGCGATTATATTGCCAAGGTGTGCATAGAGGGTTGAGTAGTAAAGAAAACACCCTATTTTATATCTGCCTGCATCCAAAACGTAGTCACACCCATCAGTATTTAAAGGGACAGTGCACTCAAAAACGTTGCAGGTTTTTGACGTCTTGACTCTTTGTTGCGTTTTCCGTCAGCGCCCGTGCTGCTCTTGGCTGAGTAAATGATGACAGTTTCATTATTGGATGAATGATTCCTTTAAGAAAGTTTCAGCTAATGGTGATGAAGCGACTTGACATCATCTCGTTGAATAGCGTCACTGAGCACTCGTTAAAAGAGCCCTCCCTCTCTCGCTTTACTCTGTTAGAGTATGTTGACATGACATTATGCAGAAAGCCAGTGGAAACTCATTTGGTGTAAATCGCTAATTTATTCCACTTTTACACCTCTATGTATTTAATTTTATTATTTGTTTTATTTATGTTTTTATTTCAGAATTATTACTAATATTAATATTAAATAATATTATATATTTTCATTTTTTATATACAATTTATATATACAATATTCTTATTTTTTAGAAGTATTTTGTTGTTATTTAATAAAATATATAATATATTTATATAAAAATAATATAATTTAATCTTTTTTGTTTTATTTAGTTGTTTTTATTATTAATATTCATATTAAGTAATATATAATATTATTTCTATCTATAATATATTTACTTTTAGAAAGTGTTTTTATTGCTATTTTAAGTTATTTATTTATTACTTTAGACAATTATTATTAATAATATTAATAATAAATCATATGTCAATCATCATGATATTTTAAAATCTTTTTGTGTTTTCTTTTTGTTGTTTTTATTTTAAAGTTTTGAATATTCACATTAAATAATATATAATATTATTGTCTTATTTTTTTATGCGTAATTCATTTGTGTTAGATATTTAAAATTTTTAGAAAGTGATTTATTTTTCATTGTTTTATTTTAAAATGAGTGTTGTAATTTTTAATTTTATGATTTAATTTTCATTTAATTTTAACTTTTCAATATCTGGTGAACCCTAGTTTGGGGAAACCCTCCTGTATGTAAATGTAAATCATCCACAATCTTACATCCTGGTAATTATGTTGTTTTTATTTCACAGAAATGGTATATATGGCAACATGTTTATGCTATTTTAGTTGGTAAATCAATGGAAAACTGATTTATATTAAACATTTCAGATGTCTATATTTGGATGATCCAGTTAAATACTGTGTACGGTATGTACCGTCCTCCCACCCAGCCCTAACTCTCAGTATCCAGCAAAACAAGCTTCAATACAGAGCTGCAAAACTGTGTGCCAGTTGCTCCAAACATGGGGTAAAAATAGAAATGCTGGGCAGTAACAGGCCGTCGTGGTGCACAGGCCAGCCTTTGACTATTCCCTGGAGTTCCAGCGCAATAAAAACGTGATCGATGTGAAAACTGCGAACATTGCGAGCGGGGAGAAATAGGACTGTGGGATGATCCGTGTGCTTTTGGGAGAGGCTGCTTTGCACATTCGGGATGAATCCTGTAGGTCACTTTGATCCTCTGCAAGTCGGCCACGTCTGCAGACAGGAAGACGAACCTAACCTACTTCCCTTCCCTGTGCTGACGGATCACAGAAAGGCCATTAGAAACACACGTTTGTCTGCATAATGCCACAGGTTTCCCTGCAAACTCAAGTAGTGTTTGTCCAGAATTACTGCAGGGTCTGGATTCACAACTCTAGACGCACGCTTGTGAGAAACTGTTGCTCAACTAACCAGATAATTACATGAACGATGACGTCTAATGGTGATTTAGGCTAAGTGTTGACTTGTGTTGATAAATTGTCCACATCTTTGTTTTATCTTACAGCTGTAGGCAGAACTGTGGGCTTATTACTTATTATTAAAACGTATATAAATGTTTTATGCCTTCATTTGATTACATCAAAAAAATTATAGTAAATAAAAAAAGAACTAAAAGTATAAATACATTTTCTTTGTATTTAGTTTGTATCAAAACATAATTCCAGAAAAACATGAAACCAACACAGAATTTCTGGGGGATAAAAATTAACAAGAAAATTTCATAGGGCCCTATTATTGTAAACATTTTAATAAAGTATTAAATTGTTAACGTTTTATGAATTTCATCGCTTAGACATGCTTCTTGATTCTTGCAATTTAAACTATTAAAAAGGAATTAAGAGAAATTAAAACAGAAAACACTGAAATTTGGAAAAAATAAAAAGCTCTATAAATAAAGTTTTTGTTAAACCTTTCATTTAAATGGTCTAAGTTTCGTGATTTCAATTCATGCTTTTTGATTACTAAAAAAACTGAATTTGAAAAAAGTGTTTTTTTAATTACTTGAAATTAAATGTTTAAAATAAAGTTCAAAATAAAAATAAATAAAAAACCTTTAACTTATTTCAGTTAGTTACCAAGACATTTAGCATTTTTGTTTAGTTTAAGCTTAAGTACTAAAATAAATGAAAGTAAAATTGAAATAGAATGGCATAAAAACTATGTACATTTAAAAAAAGGTAATAAAAAATTATAAACTTAATGTATACCAAAATTAATAAAACTATAACTAAAATGAAAATAAAAATGTAAAAATAAACTCAAAATATATAACAAAATATAAAATGGGAACTATAGTATATCATTGATACTATAATAAAAACACTGTTTTTAAATCATTGAGTGTCATAAATTTAATCACAATTACAATTACACAACTGTCATTTGTGATCATTTATTGCTTGCTATTATGTATTTTCCATGGCAAAGGTCAAAGAGCCAAACTAGTGCTTTAGTTAACTGTAGGGTTGTCTGTGCGTTTGCAGTGAGAGGGTCGAAGCCTGGCAAGAACGTTCAGCTGCAGGAGAACGAGATCCGTGGATTGTGTCTGAAATCCCGCGAGATCTTCCTCAGCCAGCCCATCCTCCTGGAGCTGGAAGCACCGCTGAAGATCTGCGGTGAGAAACACAAACGCAGCAGATATACCATGTTAAAAACAGAAATGCAGAATCTCTACTACTGTCAAATGTCTTTCAGACTTGGTTCTCAAAGTCTACATTCAAAGGTCCAAATCTGAATTTTCATCAGTGTAAAGGTCCGGACCGGAACAATCGGTTATTACAAATAGTGGTCAACTGATTTATCGGCAAGGCCGATATTTGGCATTTTTCAAATATCGGCATCGGCCGATACGTTTTTCTGTTTGGCCGTTGCATTCGAGGCGGGACTTTTATTTTGACGGCGCTGAGAACGGCAGCGCCTGAGCACAGAGTGCTCACATTCTCCCTCTTGTTCGCTGTCGTTGTTAACGGTTCCGTCTAATACGGATAGAAGTCTATCTAATAATCAGATAGTACGGTTAAACAAAGGAATTAAAATGTATACAAGAAGTATTATAACGATTGCTTTTATATTATTAGTAATAGAAAGGCAAACATTATAATACTTTCTCGTTTGCCGTGAATATTAATTAAAATAAATAAAATTATATCGGCTTTATATCGGCCATCGGCTGTCAAAAAACACATATCGGTCGACCACTAATTACAAAACTTGTTTTTAATAAACATACATAACATGCATAACAAATAAACATGAATTTTTTGAAAAAATAAAATGCCCTTTGCATTCAAAATACATTAATAACAAGTGCAAAAGTGACAATTAATTTAAGTGTCAGCAATAGAGGTCGACCGACAAGGGTTTTTCTCTGGCCGATGCCGATATTTAGAAATCAGGGCAGCCGGTGGCCGATATATGATGCTGATTTTTTTGTACGATTTTATATATATTTTTTTCCCTTTATCTCATAAAAGCAAGTTTGAGTAAATGATTATTGCAGGGCACAAGATGGTAGTAGCCTAATTCATAGTAATAATACATGGCTCAAAGCACCTTCTCAAAACAGTTCTGAAGCATGCTTTTTGTTTATGTTTGCTGACAGACACCAGTGTTTCCCACAGACTTGCAAATGCAAATTCATTCTCTGCCAGCAGGAGGCGCTGTTGGAGCAGAAGATATATAGCGGTTTCCACGGTAATGGCTGTAATCTATAAGCGCTGCGCTCATAAACGTTAGGAAAGATTAAATGAAAATGACATCAGAGCTTTTCTGAAGACGGTCGGTACTTTTCAAAGATACATTCATATAAAAACACCCGTGCGGCATTTTAATTTTGAAACGTGCAGTGCTCAGTTTATCCAACGAAGTAGAATCCTTTTAGAAAATCTGATTGTGGCTGTCAGTTTTGATATTGTGACGGGCCGCCCCTTGGACACTGCTATAAGTCAAATGGCCATAATTTAAGTGATAACAAAAAAAACCCACTCATATCAGCGGTGAAATGTCGTCCGATTATGTCAAACATCATACGCTCACTGGATGTCATGACAACAAATGTCATGAAGGAAAGGTTTCACTCTCTCCTTCGCTTTCATTTTGGACCATCTCCAAAAAGACAAAAAAAACTAAACAAATGATCTACAAGTTTAACATGCGTTTATCAAAGTAGGAAATAACCAGTGCTCTTGAAATACAAAAAGGAGGCGGGTTCAGACTTTGAGAAGCACTGGTTTAGCCTGTCATGTTGTTGAAATAGTCAGCAAATGAGACGCTCTCCTCTCCACAGGCGATATCCACGGGCAGTACTACGACCTGCTCAGACTCTTCGAGTACGGAGCATACCCACCTGAGAGCAACTACCTGTTCCTGGGAGACTATGTGGACCGAGGGAAGCAGTCTCTGGAGACCATCTGTCTCTTGCTGGCCTACAAGATCAAATACCCTGAGAACTTCTTCCTGTTGAGGGGAAACCACGAGTGTGCCTCCATCAACCGCATCTACGGCTTCTACGATGAGTGTGAGTGTCCAGTAGATACTGTGCTGTGCCATGATTACTACCTATGATTTCCACGATGCAGAAAACCCGTCTTTTACCCGTAAACCTCTATTGTGCAGAGGTTTACCACCATTTTTTGTATGACATGATTTGTGACCCTGAACCACAAGTCGCTGGGGTATATTTGTAGCAATAGCCAAAGAAACATTGTATGGGTGAAAATTATAGATTTTTCTTTTATGCCAAAAATCATTAGGATATTAAGTAAAGATCATGTTCCATGAGGATATTTTGTAAATTTCTTACCGTAAATATATCAAAGCTTAATGCTTGATTAGTAATATGCATTGCTAAGAACTTCATTTGGACAACTTTAAAGATGATTTTCTCAATATTTAGATTTTTTGCACCCTCAGATTCCAGATTTTCAAATAGTTGTATCTCAGCCAAATATTGTCCGATCCTAACAAACCATACATCAATGGAAAGCGTATTTATTCATCTTTCAGATGATGTATAAATCGCAGTTTTAAAAAATTGACCCTTATGACTGGTTTTGTAGTCCAGGGTCACATTTGTATTAAATCATAAATGCTCAAAACTTACAAATTTTTTAGTGAGCAACAACATGATTCTGATTTGTGACCCTGGAGCACAAAACCAGTCTTAAGTGTCAATTTTTCTAAATTGAAATTCATACATCATCTGAAAACTGAATAAATAAGCTTTCCATTGATGTATGGATGTATTTCCATTGATGTATGGTTTGTTAGGATTGGACAATATTTGGCCGAGATACAACTATTTGAAAATCTGGAATCTAAGGGTGCAAAAAAAATCTAAATATTGAGAAAATCGCCTTTAAAGTTGTCCAAATGAAGTTCTTAGCAATGCATATTACTAATCAAAAATAAAGTTTTGATATATTTACTAGAGCCCGACTGATATATTGTTTAGCCAATATTATCGGCTGATATGAGCCTGTCGCCGATATATCGGTATCAGCGAATATGCTGCCGATATGAATTTTTATTTTAAACGCAGATTAAATGCTTCTGAATGGTGTAGTTACTTAGTTTGTCCAGCAGAGCGTACTCCATTGTTTGCTACTGGCGACCCAGGTCAGTGTAGTGTAGAGATGCGCGGATGAGCTCAAACTTCACCCAAGTCCGCTGCTTCAAATTATCCGCCCGCCACCCACCCGCACCTATATTTGATCGT